CAACAATGTGTACATCTTTGGCTTGTTCATTGTGTCGCATTATGAAAAATGGGTTTGATTTAAGTATGGCTGGTGCCGTCAATTTCTTAAGGTCTGCCTGTTTTTATCAAACGACCTGACAAGCTGATCTTCACCCAGATTTGGCCGAGGAGTTTATACCTCTGCGACTTCTTCCAAGTATGTTAGATATGTATGCGGGTTAGAACGATAAAATAACCTCCTCAGGTCTGACGCGTATTCTGTAAACTTGGCAAGCTCAACTGTAGGGGCATATTCGTCGTTAAAAGCAATGCTACTTACTAAGGTGATTTCTTCGAAGACTTTTATATTTAACTCTCTAAACAATTACGGTTGCAGGTCGTCGTTGGGAAAGGGAAGAAACTACATCATGGTGACATGACGCTTACTAGCCCTCCTCTGGGGTTCGACAGCGTGAGTTTCGAACCTCGTCTATTATAAGTGCTAATAAGATCTTCAAGGTCATCGGAGAACCGGGTTAGCACATAGTCACCCAATAACCACAAAACTAACAATGACTTCTAAAACGGCAGTCTCTCTAGGGGAGCTCAATTACGACGAACTGGTGGTATACAATCAAAGTGCCGTCATTCCTGCATTCTTGATCATTTACCAACGATAGTTTGTGGAAAAGATGCCACTAGGCGTCCTCCAGAGCCAGTGGAAGTTTCGGAGTTGTCTGGGGTTTCGAGAATACTTCTGTGTCCATAATTATGGAATGTATTTGCGTTCGGTGGCTGGATGCCAGTGATCCTCTTGTCAGGCTCGATTAAACAAGCCATCTGACTGGTCGACATCACATGTTTCCAGTCAAATTCAATTGAAATTCGATGTATTCCCTCTTTTTTGATGTCATGGGTGAGATGATATCTTTGTTCATCAATTGCCTACCTGTGAACGATGACCAGATGACCCTTTTCCCGATTTATACTTGCTGATTGAGACTTATCGTATTAAGTTGCTCATCATATGAGTTGGAGTCCAGAGCGATGAAGCGTTGGTAACAGACATACCGCCATTTGTTGGTACCACCTTCAGCCCTCCCAACCTTTCCTCCCTCCACGACCTTCTCAACCAAATAACTCTGACTTGATATTGAAACCCTTCGATCTTAAAACGCTTCAATTCCTCCTCAATACAGATATAGATGACTTGTCAACTGAAGGAATGCTCTAAGCCCGTGCATCCAGGAAGTGAATATTGCTCTAGGGCACATCGTGAGTAGGTGTTATCCGCTTCATCTCAATCACATTATGAACATTGATGGTATTCCTGCAGCTTTGCGTTTTGCCTCAAGTATGGTAATGATGAAGATCCGCCGGATCAGATTTGTAGGTTCCCGGACTGTACCAAAGACGTACATCCAGGAAGTTTCTATTGCTCAAGGAGCCATAGGGTGTAAGTTCGCTACTACCTCATGTGCCCATCTGAGAATATGGACCCATCCAAATCTAGTGCCGCCCAACCGCGTAACAGCAGAAATTTAGTCCAGACATCCAAATTGTGTCTATTTCCTGGTTGTGAAAAGCAGATATTCTCGGGTAGCCCTTACTGCTCGAAGAGACACAGGGAGTAAGCTGAAGGATGCGAATAGAAGGCATAAGCAGGACTGATCCCTATTTAATAGCGCCATTCAAGCGAGTCTGGACCCCATGTTACCAGATGTACCAGTCGCAACTACGTGTTACTATCCTAACTGTTCTAAGTCTGTCCATCCGGGGAGCTTATATTGTTCACTAAGGCACAGAGAGTATGTGATTTGTTCGTGTAACACCGCTTTGACTGATATCGAGTCGGATTAGTACTCGATTCATGCTACTCGGAGATCAAAACACTAGCACTGATGATGTTCCTAGCGAAGTTGGATCCATAAGGGCGGCCCCAAAACCCCTTGACAATGATTAGGACGGGAAAAGGTAACAGAGTTGGTTTGTCTATCGACCCTCACGGCACATCTCACAAATTAGAACAATTGTCTAGTTTTTGTAGACGACTACACGAAATTGATTTGCAGCTAGGCAATATCATATCAAGTGTCCGAATCTCGAAACATTCCAGTGAGAGACAGAGGAAAATCAAAGGGTGTAAATGATCAGAAATGCAGGAATTATAGCGTCCCTGTTGTATACTACGGTCTCGTCGTAGTTGAGGGAACCCCCTAAGGAAAGTCACGACCAGCTACTGACTATGCGAACGACTGCACACTCACCTGGTTCTCCGAGTACCTGACATAGTTTTAGTACTCATA